AAAGTCACTGTTACACTAGGGTGAAAACAAATAGTGGCCAAATTGTTCTCAATTTCCAAACATAATTTTTAAAAGTAATGAGGTCTTATTTCTATCTGAATCATTGACACCTGCACTTTGTATGGTGGGAGGTGAGGGTGGTTGGGGGTAGATAGGAGATTGGGCACCATTTATGTCCAGAACACAGTTCATTTTCTGAAAACTAGATGTCTTGCCAATGGGTTTCAGCCCCAGGCAAGTTCACTATGGATTCTGTGTGACCAAAGAAAATGGCAGTTAAACATTCCTGGGGTGAAAGAGTTATACTCAACTTTATCTTCATGGTGGCAGGTCAATCACTAAAATCCTGTTCACTCAGAGCGAGTCTGCATGCAGCAAGCCAGTCTCTGCCTCTGGGCCTCTCTGCCCACACAGCCGTCCTCTGGGCATCTGTCCTTGGTGCTGCCACCACTCCAGCCTCTGCTCTGCTCTCCTGCAGCCTTGCAGCCATTCCACCGTGTCGCCCAGTGCACTGGGCGGAGCTCTTTTTATAGAGTCAGTAACGACATATTGCCCACATGTGTGTAGTGAGCTAGCCAACCAGGGCCAGGTGAGAATTCTGGCCACAGGAACTTTCATTTTATTCACACTAGCGTTGTATGAATAGGTTAAAGTTGGAAATAGAAAGCAATAAATATTAGACCAAACCATTTGTACCTAACCAAGCAGGCAATGGAGACTTACTGTAGTTCCTTATACAAGAATAGATATGGTAGAAATGGAAGCAACAAAGGAGGCAAGCTAATAGTAGTATTTGCATTGTGTCATCCTACAGCTAGCAGCACACACAGAAGAAAAACTAGCCAGAATATTCTACATTTTAGGAAATGTACCTTCCAGAGCAGAGGCAATAAAAGTGAGTTTATCAAATAATTTACTTGGTTACAAGCAACAGTTGATAACTAGATAGCTTAAGAAAAGGGGTGCACTGGAAGGGTGTGGGAAAGTCCCAGAATCAGTGTGAAGCTGGAGGATGGGGCCGAAGCTCACAGCGACCAAAGGTGCTCCAAGGTCAGCATAGTAACTAAGCAGTGGTCTTGCCAATGGGTTTCAGCCCTGGGCAAGTTTGCTATGGATTCAATGTGACCAAAGAAAATGACAGCAAAACGTTCTTGGGGTGAAAGGGTTATACCCAACTTTATTTCTAGGTGGCAGGTCAGTCACTAGAATCCCATTCATTCAGAGCGAGTCTGCATGCAGCAAGCCAGTCTCTGCCTCTGGGCCCCTCTGTCCTCACAACTGCCCTCTGGGCTTTTCTGCACAGCCGTCTTCTGGGCCTCTCTGCCTGCACAGCTGTCCTGCACAGTTGTCCCACACAGCCATCCTCTGGGCCTCTGTCCTTGGCACTGCCACCACTCCAGCCTCTGCTCTGCTCTCCTGCAGCCTTGCAGCCCTGCCACCATGTCAAGTCCAGAGCACTGGGTGGAGCTCTTTATATGGAGTCAACAGCCATGTATTGCCCACAGGTGTGCAGTGAGCTAGTCAAGCAGAGCCAGGTGAGATTCCTGGCCACAGGAACTCTCATTTTATCCACACAGTGGTCTGTAGAAATCGCAATGTGGCGAGCAACAGAGCCGCACCACTTCAGATTTTCCTTCCATCACTGCACTCTTTCAACAGGTTAAAAGAATGAAGTAAATTTGGTACATGGGGAGGTGATCCATTCTTTGTGAGAATCTATCCTGTTCCTGCCTTGTCATCTCTAGTAGGGCCTCTCACCTAACCTGCCCACACAGGTCATGTGCTAGAGGAAATTGTGTTGCTATTTAGGAAATGCAGGTGGATGCTGGACAGTCCAAAGAAAAAATCACCACTCCAGGCTCTAAGGAGCACAACACTGACGTTAAAATAAAATAATCCCATAAGGAAAAAAGGAAAGGCCATCCCAGGAAAACAGTGCCATAGGGAAGGTATTCAAGGATGATCTGTTTAAAATTTCCACTTAGGGAAAGAATTTTTATAAAGGGCCCATTCCTGCTGAATAGTATAGACCTATACAATTCACACTGGGAAGTCTGAAGTGTAGAATGAGCTGACTGAAGAGTTATTAGAAAGATTTAAAAGAAGGAGCTGAAAAAGAAAGGTACGTCTGTGATAGAAATTTAATGAGGGGCAGAGGAAAAACAAGATCTTCAATGGCTATTTTGCTCCAGTCTTCTAGACCTTGAAAAATAATTTCTAAATTTAAAAGGGCTAAGCAAAGATGGTTAGAATGAAAATAAAGATTCAAGATAAATGACTAGATAACAACAGAACATCTACCTATTTTTAAAAGGACTCAAATCTTTAACATAGATAAATTACGTGCAGTAATATTGAAGAAATCTGTAGATGTGATCAAGGAAACACTGACAGTAATTTCTTAGAAAACTGGTTGGAGAAATGTCAGAAGCAGTGAGATGGGTAAATATCTAGATTCATAAGAAAGGTAAGATGACACATTATAAAATTACAACTTGGTGCAAAATTCTCAAGTGGATTATTAAACAGATGATTTATGAGCACATAGACAAGGAAATTGCCACACAGCCTGGGTGCATTAAATAAGGATGACATAGTGGAAAGAAGTAGAGTCAGATGACCTGGGCTCATGCCCTTGTTCCATCAACAAACAGCTGGTGGACATGAGCAAATCACTTTAACTCCTTTACTGTAGCATCTTTATCTAGAAAATGTAATAGAACTGGAAGTCCTTTAAAGGATTTAAAGGGCAGTTTACCTTCAAAGAATCTCAGGTCCAGATGTACCAAAGTTACCTATACACTTTTAATCAGTCTTTCTGATGATAAAAGAATTGTCATTTATTAAAGAACACATCCTGTACTGGGTGTTTATCTCATTTTATAAAGTACTCACATTGGTCTTAACAGGTGGGTATTATTAATTCCTTTTCACAGATGAAGATATTGAAGCTTAGAGTCTAATAGATTAGATGAATCAGGATCAGAATTTGTCCTAATATCAGGAAGTCAGTTGGCCAATCTCAGTATTCAAACAGTAAAATGTTTCAGTATTGAAAGTAGATTCCTGGATTTAAACTACCTTGCTGGACAAAGAAGGGTCTTAACTTTGAACAGGGTTGGGACTTGGGGAACTGGAGCAGAGGTGGGAGTGGGTGTGACTGTTCTTGGGTTGCCATTTGGAGCTTCTAACAAGGACTACAAGGAAATACGTGGAGTGGTAGCTAAATTTTTATTGCCATTGTCACAGGAATCTCAGATAACAGAAATTTTCTATTAAATGGACCCAATTCATTTTAAGTGGATTTCAAGTTCAAAGGAAACCAACCATTTGAATATTCTAGCACAAAAAGATGATGTAAATTTCAGATGTAATTTCAGTTACAGTCACAGAAGGGGTATTCGGATCCAGGGAAGCAATATAGTCCTGCAGTTTCTGCCCTAGCCAGGCCTCTTCCTGAACGTGGTGGGTTCCTTTCTGGACCATGCAGTTATTAGCTGAAAAAGGTCCAATGGAAGGCACCCATGGAGTTAAAAAAGGAACAGCTGGGACAACTAATAGATGTTGGAGTGTCATGAAAGCTTTTTTGAAATATATGAAGAGCTGCTGTTTGGACAAAACTCTCAGAAAGCAAAAGTAGAAGTGGGTGGAATTATTGAAAACACTTTTTCCAATGAGAGGCTCTCCAAAGTTGAGTGGAGGCACCTTTAGAGGCTTACAGCCTCAAGTCTCTCGTTCTTTGCAATTTAATGAATGTTGATTGAGAGCTTTCCGTATGCTATTTTAAATGCTTATGTCAGTGAAGACAACAGACAAAAATCCTTGCTCTTGGAGTGTTTACATTCTTGTAGGTGTGGGGAAACTTTCAGTACACAATGAAACAAACCAGTAAATTTTGTAGTGTGTTGGATGGTTAAAGAATTATGGTAAAAGAGTAGAAAAAAGAAGAATAGAGGAGGTGGGAAGGGAATGGGATGTATATGGTCATTATAGTAGGTTGGCTTCATTGAGAATGTGGCATTTCAACAAAGATGTCAGTGAAGGATACGAGGGAGTAATCTTGGGGAAGGGCATTCCAAGCAGAAGGAAGAGCCATGCATAGGCTTGAGGTGGGAATGTGCCAGCAAGGAAGCCTCGTTTGCAAGTAGTTAAGCGGAGCTTGGCAGAGTATTTGTGAGAGAAAGGGAAAAGAGGATTTATTTGTTGGTGAGAGCTTGGACGACATGGCTACTGAGATCTCTTCTAACTTTCTGTATTCCCTGAACTTCTGATTCTGTGATTGTCCAGAATAATTTGGTAGCAATGAGCAGGATGGATCCAAGAGCAGAGATGTCAGACCAGGCTGACAGGTACGAATGGCAGAGGAGCAAGGCAGATCATATAAACATTTAAAAATATTGGCAATGCATTCAAGTATTTTTAAAATATTGTATAAACCATACAAAACATGGTTACACACCAAATCTTTCTCTAGGCCCCCCAGTTTGAGACCTTTGCATTAGAGAAAAGGATATCAGTTAAAAGGATGTAATCCAGATATATAGTCTTGGACAGGAAGCTAAAGGAAAAAAAGATAAAAGAAGATTTCTGGGAGTCTTTGATGAGAAGTATTGCTTTGTTGTGATTTGACAGGGAACCAAAAGGAACGAATCAAAGATTACTCTGTAGCTTGGACCTCAGGAGACCAGTTCACCCTGACTTTGCTTTTCCTCAAACAAAGGTCACATTGATCATTTTTCCACCTATTATCAATGGCCAAATACTTACTTGTCATCTCATTGTCCTATTATACATAATCACATATAATTTAGGAACTTAGAATCAATTTGGAGAGAAAATAACCAGTGCAACTATTCTCAATTATATTGTGTCCATAATGTAATTACAGGCATAAAACTTTTGAACAGAGGCTCATAATTAATTAACTGACATCATTACAAAGAGCAAGATAAAACTTTTATTCTTTTTGATGTACCACTTGTCCTGTTCCCTTGCTGCAGGTGCCTTCATTTGCAAGATGATGCCATTTGTCCAGTCTACTGCTGTTGTGTCAGAAATTCTCACTATGACCTGCATTGCTGTGGAAAGACACCAGGGGCTTGTGCATCCCTTTAGAATGAAGTGGCAATACACCAACCAAAGGGCGTTCACAGTGCTAGGTGAGGATGTGCCAGTGGCAGTATTAATGCCTTTTTCATTACAGAACAAAGAGTTTCTTCAAAGTGAAACATACTGTTGAACTAGAGGAGTAGCTTCTTGTTTAGCTTTTAGGTGTTGGTGTGTAATTTGAGGGTCTCAGTCCTCCCCCCATTTACCTTCACTCTCACACCTTCTCTCCTTTAGGCCTAACCCAGCACTGCAAATCTGCCATTTCAAATTTACTTCTTCAGTTTAAGTTTTAAACTTTTAAGCACTACTGTCAGCTGATCTAAAATAACCTGTCAGTAGAATACCACACTAACATTATTAGATTATTAAACTGTCATCCTGAGGTAAGAGGCTGCTAGGCTACCTATTAAGGTAGGTAGATTCTGATAGGGAGCAAGAAAGGCGTTTTTAGGAAAGCAGAGAACAGGGGTGCTACCCTGAGGGGGCTCCAGTGGTGAGGACATAATAGCAGAAGGCCTCAGTGCCCATGTGAACACTGGGTATGGAATGCTGGAGATGCCTGACAAAGACAGATTCCACCTGTTTATGATTTTGTCTCGGGCATTCCTGAATCCTCAGCCTTCTGAGTTAACCAGTCACAACAAGTGTGTACCTCTTGATAAATAGTAAACTGGAAGCAATGTCCTTAAGTCTAGCACACTAAAATGGAAGAATTTCTCTATTCAGTATTATAATTGAGCTATTTAATCCCTTGATGTGTTTCACAGTGGTTTGAATGTATTATAGCTAAATAATCAGAGGTTTCAGAAGCAACTAATATGATAATGAAAGAAACAATTTTTACTGATACCTCATTTGAGAGGAATGAGCAAACATTTATTTCTGCTGTAAGAATTCAGTCAGCATGGGATAGTAGAATTACAGAAACAACTCCTGAAGGCTTTGCAATGCCAAAGTCACTTTAAATAGTTTGAAATGAATAAATGAACCAATAGGGGAAAAAATTCATTAGTTTTAGTTAGTTATTTTCAGATTTAGTTATGTCCTCCCTACAAAGAATTCAAAGACCTCTTGGCTTTTAATAATTGACATCTGTTCATCATCAGAACATCTGAAAACAGCATGTAGATATGGAAAGAGAATAAGGAAGGGAAAATGTGGAGGAGGGGAATTATTAAAAAAGAAAAGAGGAGTAGATTGAGTTGACATCTGAGAGCAAAACTGATAATAGACAGTTAAGGCAGCTCCTGCTCAAAAAAGTCATAGGAGACAAAGATGGTTTTCAAATAAGAAGGCCCATCTCTCTGTGGGGCTTTCTTGCAGTGTTGCCTGACATCTCCTTCTAGTTCTGTTACACCAGGAACCAGCCGTGTCTATTGTGCCTCCTTCTAGTTGAGACTTCCTCCAGGCCCCAGCCAGCAGAGATCTACTGGACTCTCTTATCCAGAAGGGCTCCCAGATTATATCAGTAATGTTCATCTAACCCTGGCCATTCTGTCCCTGAACTGGCAGTAGACCCATGAGGACTGGCAATGAGCTAAGCCAATTAGACTCAATTCCTCCAGAATTTCTATGAAAAATTTCAAAAATTATTGGACATGGGATAAAATGATTGAACATAAGATACCATAATAAGATCATGATTGGACTAGAATAGAATAGATGCATATGGCAGTGGTAAGAGAGAGAGAGATTTTTGGGGGTGGGGGTGGAGATTTGTGAGCCTTAGAATGACCTTGAATCATTGAATCATAATGACTTTCTATAGACAGTGCCAGTTCATATGTTCTTTAAATAAACCCCAATTATGGCTTAAACGAGTCTCAGTTCTTGCAACCCAAGGCAATACCCTGTTTTCCTAATGGTTCCCCTCAATACAGAAAGAACATGCTGAGTCTGAGCTAGAAATATTCCTTAAGATTGAGGTTGGGGCTCTTAGTTCTGGCTTCTTCCTAGTCTCTTCAGATTTACTTTTGTTCCTTTCTGACATATCATTAAAGCAACTCACTCAGCAAACTCAGGGAGGACAGGGAATTTGGAAAGAGCACTGTGCTTTCTGATCTTATAAGTGTTTGTTTTGTAAATAAGAAAATAATGCCTATCTTACTATGCTTAATATAAATGTGCTTTAAATTTTAAGAAGAATTTATAGAGGGTGAGTTATATTATGTATAAGTTATTCATCCATTCAACAAACAAATAGAAAGTGCTTGATCAGCACCTACTGAAGGCCAGGAATAGTCCTTGGAATATTATTTGGGGAAACAAAACAATAAATGGCATTGCCCTTCTCCTCAAGGAGCTTAGAGGAAGTTTGAGAAAAAATGGTAACAGCCACAAAGGTGCCCCTCTAGAGAGCACATAGAGACAGTGGGGAATTAGTGGTCAGCTCTATCTGGAAATGATGGTGCCTTCACAGCTTTCCTAGAGAAGGCAACTGTTGAGTCAAGTCCTGGAAAATGTGGAGATGGTGTGCCAGCCCAGACCATGGAGCGGCACAATGCATTCTGGGATGTGGGAGCTGAAACCATCTCTGTACATTCCTCAGTAGAGGACTCGGGTGTGAAGAACATGGACAGAATTGTAAGAGAAGACAGAGAGGCAAGTGAGATTGTAGTGACCCTCAGGGACCATGTTAAGGGATTTAGGTTTTATCTTAAATGCAATGGAACACTATTATTAGAGAGTTTCAAATGTTTAAACATGCTTCAGGAAGACTGTTCCAGCAGAAATTTTGAGGGTGATGAAAGGGTAGAACTGAGACTATGTGAGGAGGCCATTACACTGCTCCAGGGCAGAGATGATGGGGTGTGTTGGCTATAAGGAACCTTTAGGGCTAGAGGATGAAGCGTGGATATATTTTGCCAAGACACATTCTGATGGTTTTAATGGTTTTGCAGGTGTGGTCTGGCTGGTGGCAGCTGCCGTGGGATCACCCATGTGGCATGTGCAGCGACTTGAGGTAGACTGGGGCTGGGGTTGATAATCCTATTACTGAAATGCCTCCCAGCACTCTCAATATAATCATTTTCTTTCCTTCAAGAGCATTACAACAAATGTATATAATCTTAGTAATTAAGAGGTTTTTCAAGTTGAAAAAAATAATCTGTTTTAAGATTTTTTTCCTCTGTTTTATCTAGCTCTTTTTGATCATATGTTGTTAAGACTTTAATACTTAAAATAGAATTTACTAGGGTAACTTGCTACATTTTCCTGCCAGCTGAACATGCCTTTGGAAGAGTCCTCAAGGGTTGTGTTACATTTTAAGAGTTAAATGGTTGTTTGAGATTTTTCTTTTAAGTCATATAAAAATATAATCATTTGTCTACCTGTTAGTTGATTCTACTTCACAAGTCCTTTCTTACCTGCATCCTATCCATTGACAAACTGAAGTTTGAACAGAAACATGTGAGGGGATTATCTAGTCCAACCTTTCTCCTCCCCTCACACCTTTGTCAGACCGGCCCAGCCCTGCCGGGTAATTCACAGTGAAGGGAACATCCTGCTTCTTTGATGACTCAGTCTGTCTCTTGTGGGTGCACTTTAGCATTATTTTCAAAGACAGTAGAGGATTGCTCACAGACCACCAAAATTATTTTTTAAACCATGTATCTTTTTGTACCTTTGTAAGTTGACATAAGCAAATGTGAGACTAGTGGGCACGCAACGTCCATTGGCAAGGATAGCAAATGAGCCTACAGGCAAAGATACATTTAAAACGTGGCTTGACTTTTGATGTAACTGGTGTATGGGATGAGCTGGACTCCATAGGTGAGAGCAGAAAGCAATTTTATTGTATTTCTTGCTATCTATGAAAATGCCATGCATGAAGCCTTGAGCTGGCCCTATAACTCTTCCTGTCACTCAGATAATAAAATTCCTCCGGTCACTCTCAGTCAACAGAACAGTGTTGGTTTGTTTATTAAAATGTGCAGTCCAGTGTCACAATCACAGAAGTCCATACTTTCAGTCAGTATAAAACATCTCCCTTACCCCAGCTTGAGCCAATTTGAGGTCTGCAATCCTACTATATGGAGAGGAGATGTGGTCCCCTTCTTTCTGCTCCCTTTACCCTGTGTCTCTCTTTCTCCTCCTCCCATTTAACTGGCTGCCTCCGGCTCCTTGGTTGCTGGCGAGGTGACCGGGGAGAGGGAGATGCAGTGTCCTCTGGTTTCACAGCTCTCTGTGTGTGACTGGTGCCCATGACTGATTCTTTACTTCATGGGATTTTCAAAGATAACATCACTGAGGCTCCTGATGGCTGCTCTCTTCTCCAGCAGGGTTCTCATGAAAACCCTTAGCTTCCACACACAGCTATGCGGGGCCAGGTCCTCTCTCTAAGGCTGTCCTTATCTCCAGTGGGAAATCCACACTGATGGAGCCCTTTTGTAAATGACTCAACCCAGTTCCCAATTATGGGGTCCATTTCTGGCCCATAGAACATAAGTAGACCTGTCCATTTTTAAAATGAAATTATTTTATAATGTGCTCTAAATATATAAACTCTTTTAGTTTGCAGAAAATGCATATAATCTAATTGGCAAAGCCAAATTCAGACAGATCAGCCAAATCAGATTTTCTTTCTGTTAGTAAAAAGTATGATTTCATTTTTCATATCAAATAAACATATTAATATGCATCCCACTGCCACCTTCTCACTCTTAAATACATTAGATAGAGTTCATGCTCTCATGCAAAAAAGCCTGAATCTCTCACCTGGATGAGACGAAGCACCACTGGCTTCACCATTTCCACCCATGTTCTTTTTACTTTGCTCTCACTGGGGTCTCTCAAAGGAGTGATGTGTTTGATAATTTTCAGGTTATGGAAGCAATGAGTTGTTTAAATTAAAATTGTCATTACTTCTGCCCCTTCACTATGAAATATGTGACTTTGCTATATCCTAACACCTGTCAAAACACCTTTTTTCTAATGCCAACCCTTTCCCTGAATAGAATTATACTTAATCTATGGAAAAGCAGCAAGCCCTCTCATGGATTTGTGGTGCCTTGATCAAGGTAGCCTCACTGACATCAGTAATATGAACCACCTCTTCCTTTGGTGCCCCATGGTAAGATTTGGGTTGGGTGAAAGATATGACTTGTGTGAATTGGGAGAAAGGATTAGGAAACAGGAACTGGGAATATAGACCCACATGACAGTTCAACCCCAAGCATTCTCTCAGGCAGTGAAATTTTCTAGAAGTGTATGGTTGGAAATAGAATATGATCTGAAATTGGCTCTCATGAAACCATCTGAAGGCCTATGCTTGTTCTCAGGGCAGTGTGCACCCACTTGGAGATGCAGTCTAGCTTTGTGCTTTAGGCTGTATGAGTATGTGACCCCTCCATGTCCGTTAGCCTTTGTGGGCTCTGCTTATGTGGAGTCAGGTGAATTTCACTTTAATATCCCTATTCCCAGGAGTTTTGTGTCTTGAAATTACCTTCAACAATTTTTTTCATTTTTGGTTGTATTTTTAGATAACACTTAGATCAGAACTTGAGTTTTCTTACCTTTGATGAAAGGTAAGAAAGCTTCTTCCCCATTCTGTTGACTTGGAACATTGGTGTTAAAATTTGCTCAGAATGGAGACAGAAATATGTCTAAGACCCAAATATTATTTATCTGGAAAACTCTAGAGTGAATAAAACAACAATAGTTTTGCAAAATTCCCTCTTTTATTCCTATTATCCAGATAAATGACTTTTGAATATACTTTAAGTGTTTAGTTTCTCTCTTATTACCACTTGCTATTATTATTAATGTAATTAATAATATTTTGAAGTCATGGATCTGTCAGAAATAGTATTAATATATTAATAAATAGACATTGCCGTTCTATAAAATATGTTTACCTCAAAGGCTTATAAGTGAATCTGAATATTTATAGATTGGCAGTAATTTGAATCCAAATTTCTCATCTTAAAGTCTAAAAGCTACCAGTTGCCTCTCTGAGATCTTTGCAAGCAACCTGATCATTACAATCCAAAATGGTAGTAACAAAATACAGAGTACTGGTACCTATCAATTTGAAGAAGTCTGGTGCTTTGTCAAAATTTGTCTCTTCAACAACTGAGGAAGGAAAATAATGGAACATTAAACTAGCTGGAGCTCTGCCCAGAATATTTTTTCATACATATTTTGGTCACTGTAGTGTATTCTTCTTCTGGAAAGTATGAATTAATACTTTGGCCAAAGATTGTAGCTCTTTCATTGAATAGAAAACATGGCGATAGTGTAAAAAGTTGAGAAAAATTAAGTGAACAAGCTTAAGGACTGCAATTCTATTTTGAATAGAAAGTACAAAACTTTTAAGAATTTAGGCTGTGATGTGGAAAAACGACACTTAACAAAAGAACGATCAGAATTGTATCTCATCTGAAGTATGTAACCCATGGTAAATACGTAAGGACATGAAAAATGCTGCATTACAATAGTCCTTGGCCACTTTGTACTTTTGATGCTGACCCTGGCATTTCTAATTGAATTATTCTTATCTGAAAGGTTAAGTATGACTTCTTATATGAGAAAGAGCACATCTGCTGCTTGGAAGAGTGGAACAGCCCTGTGCACCAGAAAATCTACACCACCTTCATCCTTATCATCCTCTTCCTCCTGCCGCTTATGGTGATGCTCATCTTGTACAGTAAAATCGGTTATGAACTTTGGATAAAGAAAAGAGTGGGGGATTGCTCGGTGCTTCGAACTATTCATGGAAAAGAAATGTCAAAAATAGCCAGGTCTGTTTAATGAAATATTCATCTCTGCTTCGAAGAGTTTTAATTAGTTGCGCTGCAAGGACAGGGGCCGGGGATCTCAGAATTCCAGTCCAAGTGGCATTGCTAATTCAATTTAGGGCATGGACTGACTTTAAACTTTGGAGATTGTTTGTATGGCAGAAAGAGCCATATCACCAGCTCCCAAGTCAAAGGTGAAGCTATTGTTATAGACAGAAACTCACTTGGAATTTAGAAAACCGTCACATTTTCATCCGTTTGTCAATTTGACATGGTAGGGGGAGCTGTGGTGCTCTCCTCGCTCTGCCACACCCTGGCCAAGTGACGTAGGTGAATCTTACTCCCGAGGCCCCTGCTTTCCCCAGGTGCACCGGGGAGCACAAGAATATCCATCCTTACTTCCTTGCACCCGGAGATGATGATAAAATAAATGAGATGTGTATGAAAATCCTTTGGAAATCAGAGAATGCTATTTACATAATTACTGTTTTTTATTTTTACTTAAGACCTTTGATTTCTGACCATATTCATTAATAAAGATTTTAAAACACAGCTTTCTGCTATGGTACTTGAAGTCCATATGGCTTATTTTATACTCTACACTGAATGGCTATTAAAAACAAACAAAACCTAAGGAGATGTTTTAGAGGTCTGATGAAATTTTAACATTTCTTCAAGTGTGCAGTGACCTCTAGTGCCCAGTTTGTATAAAGAAACCCTCTCTCTCAGTGTACAAGGTGCCAGACTCTTCAACCCTTGGGACTTACAGCTGATTTAGGTCTTCCACTTCCTCGGAAGAAAAGACTATCTGTCGAAATAGCAAATAATGAATATGACTTTTTTATAAACTAAAAGCACCATGCAAATGTGTAGATCTCTTGCAAGTGTTAATCTTCTTTACAAGAGTAATGGAGAAAACTAGTTTGAATTCCTGGTTCAAATTGTATTATTTATATATAAAATAAAAGATTATATTTTAACTCTCTTCTGAGGGCTTCCCATATTTCTCCATGACAAGCATGAGTGCTCTTCAAAATACAATTGAGTAAGAGCTTAGGCTCTGAAGTTAGATGCCTAAGTTTAAACCCAAGCTAGCATGTATAGTTTAAGTCCCTTACTAACCATCTGACTTTGCAAGTTACTTAACATTCTCTGTGCCTCAGTTTCTGCATCTGTCAAGTGGTTTGTTGGGAAGACGAATGACAATCCATGTCGAGCACCTAGCAGAGTGCTAGACCCATAGTGAGCACACAGCACAAGAGTGTTTGTGAGAAATATAGGCATGAAGGAAATAAAAATGGGAAAAAAATTTAAAAACTCCCACAATTAACCTATCATGAGCTTTATTAATACTTGAAATATTATGGTTGAGAGGTCTAGGCTTAAGTGTTTATTTAATAGGTTTGCTATCAGTTTGTCACACTTGCCAAGGAGAAGTTAACTAATACAATGTATCTTTGTGGGTCCAGGAAGAAGAAACGAGCTGTCATTATGATGGTGACAGTGGTGGCTCTCTTCGCTGTGTGCTGGGCACCTTTCCATGTCATTCACATGATGATTGAGTACAGTGAGTACTTGTCATTCTCATTTGAAGGACGTTAGTTCATTTCCTAGACTAGAAAATGAACCATTGAAATTCGTTGCTATTCACTTGCGTAATGAAATATCAAACATCTAATAGGTTCCTTTCATGTTTTCAGGACTATCAGATCATTACATGGTAGGTAATTATGTGTGACTATGACCAAATCATTAAAAATTGCAGAAGATAAAGAAAAGCTTTTGAGATTCTCCTTCCACGCTATGCCTTATGTTCTCCCTAAGCCATTTACACATTGTGAGAAGTGTGACATCCTGTGAGTGTTCTATATTGAAAACCTTGACTTGAACCAATGAATTTAATAACACTTAGGATTTCAACCAGACCCTCAAAGATTCTCTCTGATAATCTGAGACTTAACATCGTTTCTCAGATGATTGTGTTTCTATAACACAAGTAAACATTTGAAATGTAACTGCTGCAACAGTTTACAAGAAGCTTGGAATCACACCGAAAAGCAATAAGCATCCTAGTATCTGTTGGGCACTGGGCTACGCTACTATGCCTAGACATTCTAAGAATGAGGACTCATCGCAAAGGTTATTTTCCATCAGACGTTAAATGACTCTCCCCAAAATGATCTTGAGAATTTTTCACACCTTTAACCACTTGTGTAAGTGTAGGTGTTTGGGAAAGACAGATAAGAGACAGAAATTTTATTTTATGCTCATTATAACAAATATGCACTCTATTACTTTTTATTTTAGGCAATTTTGAAAATGAACATGATGACATCACAATCAAGATGACTTTTGCTATAGTGCAAGTAATTGGGTTTTCCAATTCTATCTGTAATCCCATTGTTTATGCATTTATGAATGAAAATTTCAAAAAAAATTTTTTATCTGCAGTTTGTTATTGCATAATAAAAGAGAATTTATCTCCAACACGCAAGCATGGAAATTCAGGAATTACGATGATGCAGAAGAAAGCAACATTTTCCTGGAGAGAGAACCAAGTAGAGGAGACCAAAGGAGAAGCATTCAGTGATGGCAACATTGAAGTCAAATTGTGTGAACAATCAGAGAGGAGAAAAAGTCTCAAATGACATCTTGCCCTGTTTAGTTTCTGAACTTTCTGAGAATTCTGCTTTGGACAGTGGGCATTAATTTTAACAATGTCTTAATGATTAATGCCATTCATAGGTTAATCTGAGGAGAAAATTACTTTCATCAAAGGTCGAACACTTTTTTATTGTTAGAATGATGACAAGAAAAAAATATGACATAATACAATTTTGAAAAATTAGAAAGCCATCCTTGTAGATTATAAAAGTGGATTAAAAAAATCTTGTACAGAAAAAATGTTCTTGGCTAGTAGTTGTCCCCCATGTACAGTCAATGTGATGTGACTTTCTGTGTATTTTTAAATTGGATGAAAAACTAGCTTAAAAGTTGTATCTTCTTTCTTGAATAAGTTTAGCAGTTGAACACTGTGATGTAATTTTTAGGGCACTGTTGAAGCTTGGTGATACAATCCCTTGCAAATGAGGTCTGTCCAATAATCATTAGGCCAAGGAAGATGGAAAAGCAGCACAATGACAGATAAATAAGATTTAGAGGCAGATGCTTGGGTTTGAGCTTCTTATAGCCTTAGCAGTTACCATGGCTGTGACAACTGGAAAGTCACTTACCCTCTTTAGGCCTCTGTTTCTTCCTGTGTAAACTGGGGCTGTACTTCCTGTAATTCACAGAACTGCTGCCAGAACAAAATGAGACACATGCAGGAAAACACTTTGTACTCTGAAGCAGCCTCATGTTCTAATGCTCCCCACGTCTCCCCTTTCTGTTCCCTTTTCCTTCCTGGGACTTGCCTTCAACCCTGTCCAACTTCCCACTCGTGCCTATTTTGTAACTGGTTTCTAATTTTTCTGGGATCCTCATTTATAGGTTGGCTATAGTATATTTAGACCAATCTATCTCAAATACTTATATTTTTAAGCTCTTTATTTTCATCAGTGGGGTGAAAGACTTTTTTTTCCTGCTTTGAAATTTTTATTTGTAAACTGGATTTCTACCTTTTAACATCCATATGAGTGCATATTCTTTTTTTTTTTATTAAGGTATCATTGATATACACTCTCATGCCGCCATTTTTACTCTCCGGAAGTTTGGGGTGAAAGGCTTTTTGTTATGTAAAAGGACTTTTAAGTATAGTTAGTAGATGAGAGAGAGAATCAACTCCAAGCCAATGAAATATTACTATGTTCAAGACTGACTCTATAGGGAGTGGGGCCGGGAAGAACAGTAGAGTCCTTCACCCGCATTCCTTACCAAATCCCCTTAAATTCAGCCCCTCTCTTTTCAGTCTTCTCTTACTCCCATATAGACCCAGTGGCCTCCATGCCAGTGCCCTGAGCTTCCCCTTCAACATCTGAGATTCCCAAAGTCCGGTCCCAGCCTCATGGCCAGTGTTTCTTCTGCCTCCAGTTTTCCAGCACCAGAAAAGATGAGAAGCTCAACAATTCTCAGGGTATTTCACTTAAAAATTCACAGGGTATTTAAGGTTTGGACCAGGGAACTCAGGCCATTGGGATCTTTTAAGGTACAGACTTTTAATTTTATATCTGTGTCAATGTAAGCATGGATGAAGAAAACAAGATACTATGTAGTATTAGGAAAATGTTAACACGTCACAGGAAAATCAACAAAGTCAAGAGAGGAAAACTGATGATTTGTTTTGGGTTTAAATGAACTCTTTATGAGCTATTTGTGTACACTGTCCTCTTGTGCCTAATTACCCTGTAGCAAGACAATGATTATCATTAAATTGTTAAACCATTAACAGCTAATCAGATTCACTGAGTTTAATTATCCTTATGTAATCTGCAAATATCTATATGACTCTTTCCATATTTGATGTCCATATGCACTAAATATGACTTAGTGAAGAACAGCTAAATCAACACTGTTACTGACCATTTAATTATTAATACTTGAGGATTTAAAAGAATTCCTAAACATTGCAGAGCTTGAGCTAAAGCATTTAGATATTAAAGAATACTTTAAATATTTACTGTAAAATATTCAGACATCCTGTGAGAGCATTTTTTTCAGGGGGGGTGCGGCTCATATTGCATTAATAATGCTATTTAAGAAACAAAATTAGTTATGGAGCATTTTTGTTGTAGTTGTTCTGTGCATATAAATCTTTTTTCTCTGTTATGGAAGTTTAGAGGAGAAATCTGATCCAATCTATTACTGAGAAATTTCCACTATTAGCCAAAGAAGCTCTGAATCCAGTCTGGACACTGAGTGCTGACAGTGGTTTAACACAGTTTATGAGTCCATGGAGAATTTTGCTGTGGATTCGCAAAAGAAGCCCTGGTTATGGCCTTTCTTTCTCTTTTTCCTGACTTGACATTCCTCTGAATCTTTTGACCCCTTTGTCCTCTACCCAGGCATCTGCTTTTCCCCCCTTTTATATCTCTGCCCTATGTTGTCACTCATTTTATTCTATATGTTTTTCTCTTATCTGCTGCTTGAAGTGAGAATTGTAAAGGGCTCTTTAGATCCAGGAGGTAGGATTCAGGAGAGGTACAGACAACAGGTGTTCCACTTATTAGCATTTGGGTAAAATGTCTATAAAATCAGTGAAAAGATATGTGCCACTGCTTAGACCCCTAAGCCTTTTATTTCATCAGGGATCATCATGCCAGAAAGAGCTCTGTATCTTTTCTTCCACTCCACCAAAGAATGCCGTTTCTCGTACTGTATGGTATGGATTGGGATACTAGCATTATACAGGCTAGTTTGACTAAAAACTAATTTCTAAGTCTAAAACAATTTTAAAAAGAAGAACCAAGTGGCAGGGCTTATACTATCCTCTTAAATATTTTATTTTATACACTATAAAAATTGTATACAAATGTATGTATTATAAAGTATTTTATTTTATCATATAATTCTATTATAAATTATTATAAATTGCAACTTGTTACAAATCACAATAATCAAGCAAGAGTATGGCATTGGCCTTAGGGTAGACATGTAAATAAATGCAAAACAATAGAGATACCAGAATCATATGCATACATATGGTCAGTTTATTTTGACCAATGTGACAACATAATACAATAAGGAAAGGAAAATCTTTCAAACAAATGGTTCTGGAACAATTGGATATCCAAGTACTCAAAATAGGATCTTGATCTCTATACTGTTCACAAAAACTAACTCATAATGCTTCATAGACTTAAATATGAGTTAAATCTATAAAGCCTCTAGAATAAAACATAAAAGAAAACCTTTGTGTCCTGGATTAGGCAAGGGGAAGTTTTCATAGACAGTGCACTGAAAGCAGGAAGTCTAAAAGAAATAATTATTAAAATTAACTCCATCAAAAATTAAAAAAAAAAAAAGAATGAAAGGAAGGAGAAAGACCTGTACCTGAATGTTCATAGCAGCTTAATTCAAAATAATCAAAAAACTAGAAACAACCCAAATGTTTATCAACTATTGAATGAATGAACAAATTAGTGTAAAGCGTTCCAACTAAATATGACTCAGCAATAAATGGAATTACTGATACATCCAGCGACAAGGGTCAGCTTCAAAAGCATATGCTAGTGAAAGAAGCCAGGCAGAACAGACTATGTACTCTATAATTAGCCATTTATGTGAAAAGAGAAAACTCAAGGGGTAAGCAAGTGGTTGCTGGGGGCTGACTAAATGTAGACAATTGAATGTAAGGGCATGAGAGGCCTTTTTGAATGATAGAAATCCATATCCCAATTCTGATCTTGGCTGCTTACATATTTGTCAAGATTCACTGAAATGAATACTTTAAAAGGATGAATTCATTGTATGCAAATTATGTTCAGATTTTAAAAATAGATAAGGGAATTACAATTTGCAATGTAAAAATGCCAGATTTTTATATTGGTTCCTTGTGTAGTACAAAGTCTGCAGTAGGAAAAGCCTAGTGGAAGCTGTTGAAACTGTCCCACCACAACCATCAGCAGCCCAGAGAGTAAATCAAAAAGAATATTGCTTCCTAAGGTAACAACAGAGATTAATACTGCTATGAAAGATTTAAACGATGCAACGTATGTACTCATCATATCCCCATTTAATTCACCAATCTGACTCCTGCAAAACCTGGTAGATCATAATGAATGACAAAGGACTACCATAAACTTAAGTCACAGCTCTAAGTGCTCCTGTTGGGCAGATGTAATATTTTTACTACAGCAGGTCACCACCACCTCTGATAGATTATATATGTAGGTATATGTCAGGCAAATGCATTGTTTTCAGTGTCCAATAAAAGGAATCAGCAAAATTTCATGTGTATGAATTTATATTTCACAATTTAGTCCAAAGGGACAGGAACTGTCTGGCTTTTCCCCAGAAGATCATTTTGGTCCATTATATTAATGATATTTTACTACTTACACCTGATAAGCAAAAAATGGTAAGGACTCAGCTTTCCTAGTTATATGGGCATGAGAGGATGGGAGATAACAGAGAAAACTTCAAAAACTTTAGAGGCTGCCACATTTGTGAAGTTTTTAAGGATCTAATGTTCCCAGAAATGCCAAGACACACCTTTCAAATTCAGTAATAGGTTTTTGTACTTTGAACCTCCCACCACCAACAAAGAAGTACAATACTTGGCTGACCTCTTCAGGATTGGGAGGTATTCTATTCCCTAGGGAATATTGTTGTGACCTGTTTATTGTTGAAATTATAGGCTACTAGTTTTGAGTGGGTCCCAGAGCAAGAAGGGGCTCTGCAACAGATCTAGGTTGCACAGTCCTGTCTCCCCCAGCTCACGCCTATGGTCGCATGTTTGCTTGGATTATGAGTTACTATAGATCCAATGGATTAGGTTGCAGTATGAAAGAAATGAGATAAAATGGTATAAAAATGCTATATGAATCATTAGAATTCTGAGAGCACAAGAATGAATGAACTGTTCTGACTGCTAGTCTGTTGTCACCACATCAGATTCCTTGGCTGCTGCCATGTTTATAAAAACTGTGTTGACTCAGGAAAATCTACATATAAAGTAACTATTTCTAAATATAATTTTTGATTAACTGGCAAAGGCAGCTTTTAGAAAAAGGAT